TTGTCTGCATGTCCCATTGTCATGGGGTGGTGCATCGTCAAAATACGGACTCCTCAAAGCTCTAAATTAAAACAAAATATACCAAACTAGGCAATTAATTTAAAATCTAAGACTTCTAGCTACCGGATTTTATTTGCCGATGTCGATTTACCTTAATAAAAGCAAGAAATCGGGTACAATGTTAGACAGTTTTCCCCATGACACAATGAGATCTTCCGTTAACCCCAAATGACCTCTTCTTCCGCCTGCAGCGACGCCATGTCGGCTTTTCTTCTGCCACAGTTTTGGCTCATTTTTACGACAAAGTCCCGGGTAATATCTCCCAGAAAATATCTGGAGCCCAATCTGGCCGCTACAGAAGCATTTATATTCCGGTTTTAGTGGCTTTCTCCCAAAAGAAAAGTTGTCGTGATCGACGAGAAGTTGGCGGCTACGCTGTACGCTGGGATTCATAATGAGTCAATGTAAAAAATTCAAGGGACCAACAAAAAGTGGCCTATTTTTTAAATCACCCCACACCACCCCCGTCAACATTTTACTCACAGAATGCCGATAGTACATGTACGTGTTTCAAAGGCCAAGCGCCGCTAGATTTGATTGACACAAGCGGCTCGTTTGACACAAAGGAGGGCCGGCGGGCGTGTTGTGAGTTGTGACGTTCTGCGCTGCGTGGAACTTCTTTACACTCAGCTAAATCTTTGCGGAACTACGTGAAATGGTCGAACGGACAAAGAAGTTTATGAACAAACTAAATGAAATTAAACTTGTTCCGACGTAGGAATTGTGTAAAGAAAGATTACAAAGCAGCTACAGATGCAATCTGTACGAATGCTGCAATACCGTGGCGGGTACAGACATTTCATCGGAGAACGTATACATGCAATAATTATAATGGGTAACTATTTCTAAAACACGAATATCCGTATGCAATATTTATATGGTGGGATGTAGCAAATTTCGATCTTTGTTTGATTGACTTGCAGTGAGGTTCTAAAACTGCCTGTCAAATCATGTTGGTAATGTTACAAACTAACTAGCGACTGTCCGTTGGCTTTTATTCGAAGTACAAACCTTACCGGGACTAATATAGGTAGAAAATTTCGATATCCTTTAGACACAACAATGTTACCTACCAGTCTTCTAGATTATATATTGTATCAAATTCCGTTTTAGGACTAGAAAAGAGCGGATGAAATGTTTATTAGCTCCGTCGCGCAGCTCCGTCCACTACGGTAAAACTAGGATATAGTTTTTGTTTTGAAGCCTCATGTCTGATCGGATTCTTTTCTTTTTTTGTAGGTTCGAGGACAAAATCATTCATCCACCAATTCACACGCAAGGGAATGTCGCATTTGCATCATCGCGACAATGGGCCTGCAGCTTTCACTGTGCATATCAATGATGAATAAATTACGGGTTTTCTAAAAGTGTTGCACTTTAGTGGGCCATCAAGGGATGACCATGATGGTAATAGTAACAAACATTTGTTGTTAGGATATAGGACTTTGCGATTTCGTACATGATTTTACTCACGGTTCACACGAAGGTCTATTTTTGTCGAACTTTGATGAAAAAATCTTGTATTAAGTTGTAGTTCTTCATTTATCAAACCTCCATGATCAAACAGACTGTCATTTTGAAACGGGATCAAGAAGTATTTCCCTGTAGCCCCCCTGCGTGTGTCCGAATGGCCACAAATGTTTTTACCGTGAGGTGCGCAGATACGAGTATCGATCGTCGGAGGAAAGCTATACTTACCGTTTGGTCTTTCCAGGAGGTGGCCTTGTCTTGCCGTCTTGTTTGTTTTGGCCTGTTTGTTCTGGTTTATGTTCAATTTCGACTATTAAAAGTTACCATTTTGCAAGCATTTTTCAACAAGCTGTAACCTGCGACTTATAAAATTAAAAGATGTTTTCAATGACGAAACATATTCAAGCCGTTTGACGCCACGGCCATATCGATCAGGAATCGATATATAGTAAGCTAAAAATAATATGCCTGATGGTATCTAGTACAACAGACCTCAACAGAATGCATATGTATAAACACAATGCAGTTATCTCCACACTACTAGTATGTTAGTAAGAACAAGTTGTGTTAGGACAAAATATCGCCGGCAACAACTACATGAACTAGTATTATTAATGATAATACTCTGAAAACTTCGGAAGAATCAGCACGCAGTATTCCTCCTCGCATCGTGCAGTTTATTCCACGCACCTTTGCATTCGTATAAAATAGAAAACATACACAAAGTTAATCATATGTTAAAAGGGTATCTTGTTTGATTTTACTCTTTTTGAAAATGGGTGATTTTGTTACCAAGCTAGTATTTCCAAAAGGCTTGGTTGTAACTTTTATTCGGCGAGAACTTTCTACGGGACAAAACAAAGCACGACGCACAATGGACTCCCTAGTGTTATAACGGCATTTCAAACAGTGTTTCCAGCGTTTCCAAGTTGCAGACCTAAAACGGTAGCGGATCTTGGGGACCGGACGAAAGCTAAAAAGGCCGTATCTAAGTGGTCAGAAAATCTTCGCAGCCTTAATTTCGTGACGTCGTCGGTAAGACAGAATTCCCAGCACTTGAGTGTAGCGAAAGTTGTGCCGTCGCCTTTGATCTGATGCCGACCCGCGGTTGCTTCAGAGTTCATCAATCAATTTTGACAGGACCGGCGCCGTGGTGTCTGAGGAGACATGATCTGTCCAGAGGCGTATGTGATTTCAGAGCTGTCGTGTGATTTTGGACTCCCATTCCCTTAAAGACCTCAGATTTTTATTTTTGAAAACCACTCTTATCAACAGAGTTTATCACGAGATGTTTGTTCAATAACTGATTGACTTCATACCAAGGACGTTATAATGGTTACATCAACGTCCTTGTTCATACGACAAATGTGTTTGTGGTCTTTCCTCCCCGTAAGCAAATATTCAGCTCGCTACCGAACTTTCCCGACCAAGATCGCAGTATTTCGGAAGGAGACCATACAAATTGATTGGTTGACGATGTACGCCGAATACGAACGAGAAAATATGGAAACCGAGATCAAAAAAATTACCCACACAGCGGCTGACGTGTTGCGTGTGTCGGAAACCTAACAAAACACACTGTAATGTTTGCGATTATTAATATTACAAAATCTGACACATTCATACAAACATTCATTATTTCGCGGATAAAATCGACCCGTGAAGCTTGTCGTACCGCCAGACTTACGTGCTGCTTCAAAGTTACTGCATTTTCTGCTCAACAATGGATAGCTCCGTGGACAGTTTAGATGTTACGTGCGATCGCAACAATATCGCCAGGTTATCGCTTTTTGGGAGGAAATTGACAGGACCAATCGCTTCTAGAACGCTTCCATGGCAGGATTATCCTTTGTTGTCGACGGAGATACTAACAATAGTATTGTATGCCGGTGTCAAGTTATATGTATTTACCGCAAGGAGCTTTCGCTCCTTGAGTACCGTCGGCGGTTCTATAAAACTGGCGCAAATGATCAGTTCACGGGAAATGTATCGAGTGCGTCGCCGATAAAATCGACGTTTGTCGCTATTTTCTGAAAACAACGCAATTCCCTGTTCGCTAAGGAGACGGATGATTTCAAGCTCCTTTGACGTACCAAGGAAAACACGGAATCATACGTGGAGAAAGCAAACGCTGACTCCACGCGTACGCTGTTTGGTGGCTGTATGCCACTTCGAATCAAAGGGCTTTGGCCGGCCGCGTGTCACTCGCCGGTCGGCCCGGGAACGCGGTGCGGGGCGTGATTCTCGTAGACGCGCGAGTTTTCACAGCTGATTAAGGGATGTGTTTTTGAAACAAAGGGGAATCATAACAGAAAGTAGCGTTAAGGGAGCGTTAAAGGAGCGTTTGAGAACCGATAAAGAAGCGATAGCTAAGCGTAGTTTTTAGAACAATGCTTCCTGAGAAGCGATAAACTGGAAACGCATTTGTCCGTTAGCGTTAAAATAGCGTTTTTTTGCCCTACTAGTGTAGGTAACCAGTCAAGTCAAACACTTGTGTCATCCTGTACACGTGGAAACTCTGACCTGACACAACTCACACTAACAAGTGACTCACCGATATTAATAAGACAATCTATGTCGTAAAATTTATTTTTAAAAAATCCATTAAATATGATATCCATGTAATAATAATTTGCAGCCACCACTGATTTTATTAAAATACATGTATATAAATTAACAGGGCACTGTCTTATTCTTTAGAGAATGAAATTATCTCGTCCCAATTTTACACTAGTTTGAGTCCTGTGAAAATATCTGAGAAAAGCAGAATTTATGGCAACTTAGCAGACGTCAGCAGATAATTATAATACTGGATGGATAATTTATCAAACTTCGCAACTCAGACAGTTTCACTATTTTATATGTATTCCTACTCCTTTAGGCATAAAATGGAATCCTTCTATACAGTCAGAATATAATTATGAAGGCAGGAATTCCAGTATAATCTGTAAACTCCAATATATACTAGTATATGTGGGGAGGGGGGCTCACCTATAGTACGACAAGAGTCCATTGGACAGCACGAACCACCGGCGCTGGTAGCCTTTCAGATAGTTCGTCCACTTGAACAACCAGCCCTTGAACTCATCTGGCGCCGCCTTGCCCTTACTGGGCGCGGACTGCTTGGAGTCCGGCATTGCGACGCCTTTAGTCTTGTCCTTGTGCTTCCCAATCTTGCCACGAAACTTGGGAATTTTGGAGAAAACTTGGCCCAGACCTCAGCAAAGATGTCTTCTCACCTCGAGCCGCAGCACTCACGTAGATGTGACCTTCCGAATAGGGAAGTCTCGAACTCGGGCCTCTCTAAAGGGAATACGTCATTTATAACCACTTTTTATAAAACTATATCGGATTTATAAAATATTTATGGAATAGTTGCTACCTCTGGTCCTTCAAAGGGAGTTGAAATAATACTTAATTTTGCGGCACTAATTCTTGGCGGATTGGTTTAGCAAAATTGAGCTCCCGAACACCTCCCATCATTCTTTGCCCAAAATGGCGGTCAGATCCGAAAAAAAGTAGCGGTTTGTTCGGTGTATGTTATTATATTTCGTTAAATCGTAACGGTGTATAGTTCGGAAGCTTTTTTAAAAAGTCTACATTCCATTAGTAGTCTCTTCATCACGTTACAACTTCAGGTGGGTCCTAACTGTCGCTATTTTGCACAGCCAATCCTAAACTGGTTGGTAAAACTGTTACTAGTACTTTAAACGTTAGCTTGACAAGCAAAAAATTTATAACGTTTATATATTTCGCTAAACGTGGTCTTTACTACGGTGCTTGGGTCCTGTTGGTTCAAGTTTGGCCAAATCAAGACTGGCCAAATTTGACCACTATAGACAAGTGACCACACTATAGAGAGATAGCCGGTTAGTTGACCCCCGCCCCCCCCCCAAAAAAAGGGACGCATGCTTTCGCAAGTTTCAGTACCAACAGAGATGTCTTTATTCTCAAACAATTATGAAAACATTCATTACACAAGTAAAGCCCTTTTATATGTACATGTTATAGCTCAATTGTGTAATTTGTTGTTCTTTTGCTTTAGTTGTGGGCTTGAAAGAAAGAAATAACCTGTTAACGTTACAGAAATATAATTTTGCGAGGAAACATGATGATTGATACTACATAACATCAAGGATGCACTCAACATACTCGGTTGATCTGTTGGGACAATGAAACCATTCACACTAAAACATAAAAAATCACTGGTTGTCATTAAATTTTACTGTTCTTGTGTACGTGTACCTAAAGAAAGAAAAGAAAGAAAGCAAAATAATCAAGCAACAAAGTTTCTGTCAACTCCAAACAAATTTTCTACTGTATTCCACAGCGCAACCGTGGAGCAAAATTACAGAAAACACCACGAAAATGATAGTCCTCCTTAGCTCCAAAGGGGACGCTAGATAGGTTTACTCTAACAGCGGATGCCTAGAAGTGTGGACTGTAGTATTTGCCAGAATGTTCAGGTCTACTGGTCTCGGTCCCCTTGACCTGAATGTTACCTACCAGAACTCACGTATACTAGTAGTTCTAATCTGTCCGAACTTCCACTTTGTTCCAGGTTGAATCATGACGTCTCCACAGCTGGCCAAGTCTCAGACGTACAACTTCATGGTCCTGAGTAAGAATGTTCTGTCAGGAGAGGAGGCTGACTTGTTTGAGCTGTGTAACCTGGCTGGTATCACCATGGACCCTCACGTCTTCAAGTAAGATAACAGACCATGTCATAAGGGTCGAGAAATGGAGAATTCAAATTGTATACCATCATAGCTGAATATGGCCTCCCCAGAAACATTGCTGCACTCCCCCAAACATGGTTTAAGGAGTACATGTAGGTCTGGTACAAACAAGGTCAACTGTGATAGGGAGTACATAATGTAGGTCATCAGTGATTGGCAGGGCTCGAAATTCATTTTCGGGAATAGGTGCACTGGTGCACCCTACCTAAAAAATTGGGTGCACAAAAATATTCATGAAATAGGTAGAATGTCAGCAACTATAACATTAATTCTGTTTCATTTCAAGAAAAGTGTAATAACAATGATTTATTTTTTCTGACACTTAGATATGCTGTAATATACATAACAATATCCAAAATCTTTAACGTTACATATGTTAAACCTAAGAAAATATTAGGGTGCACCAGTGCACCCACAGAAAAAAAATTGGGTGCACAGCTCCAAATTTGGGTGCACTAAGGTGCACATGTACCCAGTATTTCAAGCCCTGGGTTGGGGTGTGTCTGGCAGTCAAATTTCACTCAAGTTTACCTCCAATTTGATTTGATTCTTATCAAATAGGCAATGGCCTAAATCTGGTCAGTCTGCTCCTAAACGTCAGGTGTTTGGGGGCAAGGTCAGGCCGGGGAAGGGTTTTAAAACTTAACCTTCCAGGCAGCCCAAAAGAATTTGGACTCACCCAATTAAAATGGGTGGGAATTTTGCTTCAGTTTTGTCACCATGGTTTTTGTATAAGAAGACCACTATGTCTAAGAAGACCACTTTTCCTCGGTTTTGAGTGGTCATCTCATTCTGTGTGTATGATTGTGATGTCATTCTGTGTGTATGATTGCCTTGTGATGTCAAAGTCAACACAATTACACTTTCCCCTCTCCAGGGTGGTACTGGACCTCCTGCGGCTGAACGTGGCTCCCATGACGATCCTCCAAGTCCTGAAGTCCATGGCCAACAGCTCCATCAAGTCTCGGTCTGCCGGCGGGGACACTAGTGCTGAAGCTGCTGTCCAGTCCCACTCCCACACATCACATAAGGACACATCCAACGTGTCCAGTTCCTCTGACTCCTCCAGCAGGAGTTCACATCGCCAGCCTAGAACAAAGGCTCACAAACTCTCACACAGGGGACACAAGTCTTAGAGCAGGAGATCCCATTTGAGGAGCATAAAAAATCTCCCAAACATAAAGGCCTGCACATCACATCGGCAGAACGTACTGCGCCTGCACAGAACCCTGGATTTTCGTGTTTTTCGTTGGAGTTTTGGTCAACGTTGCATCAGAATTTTGACTGTTGCAGAAGATATCTTTTCTGACACACCATTCAGAAATTACTGTTGAAATGCTAACCTTATATGAGCGAATACAACCTTATATGAGACATTCTGCCGAAGTGCTCATAATGTACAATACATTACAGGTTTCGCGCAGGTGCAGTACGTTCTGCCGACATGCTCCATTTGAGGAGCTTAAAAAATCTCCCAAACATTAAGGCCTGCGCCGAGAAATATTTCATAGTGCTCCCATCAGAATCTGCATGTACAGTACTAATAGTATATTATCTAGATTATGGACTGCAAAGCTTAACAGTCATAGCATGAGTGTATAGTTGCTTTCTGATCATTGTATACTTCCACTCTGTGTGTTTTGATGTATAGAAATAACACTATATTCTTGTGATGTCCTGCAAATTGATGTTTGATACTACCGTGATCGAAAGGAATGGACAATCACGCAAGGGACAAAATTCCAAGACTGCCAGGGATTCAACTACCCACTCCCGCTGTGCAGTTCATGGTTTCTTATTGGATTATTGAGACTTATTGGATACACCAGGTTAATTGCCCCGTGCGAAAGTTAGGGCTTCTGTAATAAACTGTGTCCTGTCTCGGCCAGTATGTGAGTGATACCTCCACAGGTGGCCTGGCTTACGGCTTGCCGTCTAAAATAAACAGTCAGTGTTGACGGCCACCTGAAATATTGATAGACAACTAGTGATTATTAGTCTAAGAGTACATTACTTTTGGTACATGTATATAAGAAAATCTAGGGCTCTTTCATTATGAACCAATTGGCAGCGATGATAATTACAATAATTACATGTAGCATACTGTACTGTTCTAAGCATGTACTAGTACCAGTACCAATCAGTTGTTGGCCAAGTCTGTGCAGGTTCTCCCCCAATACAGGCATTTAATTCTGGGATTGTTGGACTTGTCCTCAAAGACTCTAAGAACTATCGCAGCGGCTATGATATTCAAACTAAGGCCACACCAATTTAATTTCTTGGTTAACGGATTCGCCCGCTTCATTTTTTTCTGATTTGCAAAAAAAAAGTTCAGAATCAACTGCAAAATGCTCATATTTTGCCCTGCACAGTTGAAAACAGTCCTTTTCTTCCTAGTTGTTACTGTAACAGTTATTCCATCTTTCAATGCAGTGGTATCATCAAAAGTTCAAAATTCATTGTTTAAATTTTGAACCAGTCTAGTGTGTTGACTTTATGGCTCCTATCGTACCATTTTGGGCCATAATAGGATGCCTAGGCCTGTTTTTATTTATTATTTTTCTAGAAAAATCCGTTAACGATGAAATTAAATCGGTGTGGCCTAATGGTGACTTTGATGAAACAAACTGGATTCAAGCATAGCAATGTAGAGGAATTAACTGTACCTGCTTCTGGCCTGGAGAGCTCATCTACATGTACATGTAAAGTCATACTTCACTTGTATCCTAAACAAGATGGCTTTTATAGTTTTTGGCTAAACAAGCCAGCCTTTTACTTTTGGATAATGAAAACCTTTCATACCTAAAGCAGGCATTTTGACTGTTAAACAGTTTCCTATTTTGTCTCCTGAATGTTTTTTCTTTAAGGTACATTTCCTTGGGTACAACCACATTAACCTTGGGTGCAGCAAAGGTACTACTTAGCAGACCAACTCCTCTGGCATGTTATCTGTATATTTGGCCAACTTCTATTCTTTCCAGCCACTTCCAATGCCTGGTAGAGGCTATATAGCTACACAACATGCATCAGTGACAATTCGTCTTTGTATTTTTGTAGAAGTTCTTCTGCAAATTACTGATCAGAAATAGGCACTTCATAAGTGATATGATTATAAATATTTCAACATGGAGAATGTTTGCATTAGCTGACTTTGGAAGGAAGACTCTGAAATGTCAAGGATAACTAACTGTATATTTTATTCTACAGGTAACATTACATGTACATGTACATGTATCTAAATAAACACATGTACCTGTCCACTCATGACTGGAATGTGTTAGGCCTGGTTTACATGTGCGTCATTTATATATGTTGGGTGTGGAACGATGCGCGTGCGGCGCCGCGCTGCTAGTCACAGAAAAATAACGGCAGGCTGTTTACACGCTAAAAAAATCTGTCACACAAAACACGCAGTGTTCCACGCCCAACACATATAAAGGACACACGTGTAAACCAGGCCTAAGAGGAAAGAACCATGATGACAGGTCATAAATAATACTACACACAATAATCATGGAAAAAGCACCTCCAAAAAGCATCAGTTCTATCTACATTCTACATACATTTACAAACATGTATATCTCCAGCAAGTAAAGTTACTGTAATATTATCATTCTACTGCATATGATTTAAAGCTGCATTAGGACAATACAAAAAGTCAATTTTCTCATTATTTCTTTACAAAGTAACTTGAATCAACCCTATTCCATTGCAAGTGTCATTCATGTAGTGGAGGGGCCAAAATATTATTACACCATACAAGTATATAAAGCTAGAAACACAGCTGTCAGCCATGTTTGTTTACATTTTGGTAGTTTGTTGTGGTACACAAAATATAAGTGCGCCTCGTGGGCTGTTTTAGCACCAACCTTAATGCAGCAAGGGTGCCATAATCATAGATGCGTGTGTCAGAAACCTTAAATGTGAGATTATTTAAGTTGCACAAATATGTTGAAATTTGGATCCGAAGTAAATTACAGATTAGACAGATTTTTCAATTAAAATGTTTCAATTTTTGGTGCAAAAGTGTTAAATAATGCCCCCTTTAAGTCTGAGGTGGTTATTGTAAGATTCTGGGTTTAGTATATCTATGCAGTAGCTGTGTACCTGCAGTTCACTACTTGTACAAGATATGATTTATGAAGGAATTCCTTGTTATATACACTACTGTACCCTGCACTGTACTTAGTGTACACTGTACATGAACCTCTCTCAACCATTGCATTGCTTACTGGATCTGAAGGCACATTCAAACATCAAATTTAACCACAAGCTTAACAAGTGGTGTCAGAATAGCTGCAGCATTTGCACTTGCTGGACTGTACAATTTTCTACATTATTACCACACATTGTGTAAATGTACCATAACT